AGCGCTTTAGGGCATATTGTTTCAAAGCAGCTTTACAAAAAAATCTCTTTGGGAGATGTTTACATGCCAAATATTAACAAGCTACATCATATTTACATGTTTATCCAAATGAATTATTCAATCATATTAAACTGAGGACAAATTGGGTGCTTGAGGATATGAAACCCTTAATTAAAAATGATGGGCGTCCCTAAAGACTCATCTTTGAAGGGCTGCCAGCAGAAGAACAATTTGATAGACAATGTTTAGCATAGAAGGTATGTGGTTTATTGCACCTGATGTTGAATGGAAGATCTGACACAGCAAAATGTGCATAAAGAGGCTGATCTGAGCTCCAGGATCTCTAATGCAGCATCAGAGGCTTATGCTCTCAACTTTAGGCAACAAAGCCTCTTTTTTATTTTTTAGATCAATTGGATGGGTGGTCAGTGAGATTCTGAAAGGGATTTCACTCTCCAGTTGTCCTCTCCATAATTTGATTTATTTGAAGGGTGACTCATTTGGTTAGACACTCTGAAGGTCTTTCAAAAGCTTATCAAATACAAATGAAGGGGAAATTTAAATATGTGCATCTATTGAAATGCATTAGATGGAAACACACAGCTACTAAGAAAGCACTAGTTAAAAACCTTACCTGATATTCAACTAACAGGTGGTAATTTGAAATTGGTTCCACTCCTTCAAGTTCATAATTCTTCCATTCCTCTTGCATTTGTCATCAATCTCTATGGGAAAACGAGTGATCAGCCTCCAAATCATAACGACCACTAATGCACAGTCTCCATCTGCAACCGCTTGGCAAAATCCTCCAAAGCGAGTCCTTTAAACTTGCTCTTAGTTTATATTCCCACAACAGGCGAGACACATCTGCCGTCTTGTTCTCCAGCATCCTCCGCAATCTGAGCCATGCAGCTTTCCATCTACATATCTCCTGCTGTCGCTAGGCATCCTGAGCAATAATAATGACCGGCTGAAAACCACAAGTAGCGATGTCCGATTCGCGAACGAACCGTTCTTTGAACTGGCTCTTTTGAATGAATCGATCGAGCCGATTCGAAAGCGTTTGTAAGCTAAATCACTCGCATTTGGAAGAACATTCTGTGTTCGAAATGGAACGCTCGTGTACTGCATACTGCGCAGTATATAGCCCACTGTACACTGCCTACTTTTTTATATTTTTTATATTTTTTATTAGTATGCAGGCTGCAATAATAAACATTTTAAACAGTAGTAGGTCTAGGCTAGAAACATGACCTCATTATGTTGCATGATTAGTCTAATTGAGTGTGTGAAATTGAATTAGTGTAAAATGACTTAACTTTAGGCAGTCTGATCAAACAATGAGAGATGGTAAAAATCAATATCACTTACAGTTCATTCGTCACCCTAGAAATCGATGAGTGCACTGGGTTACATGCAGTGTTCACTGCACTGCCAAAGCCATTTGAGTACTCCATGCCAATATGCAAAACATTGCATAATGCAGATAGACTAGAATATTTTTTCTAAATATATAGGCTACGTTTGGAATAGCATAGCCTACCAAACTTATTACTATTGCTTCACTGACATGCTGTATCCTATAGATTGTAGTAATATAGTGTACATAATATACTGGAAGTATGCAGTAAGCATAAACTACAGTGCGTACGAAATCGCATGTAGGCACTACATTTGAAATTGTACTTTGTGACCGTTAAAAAGTACAGTATGTACTATATAGTATGAATGTGTGTAGTATGCATGTAATCTGGACATACTACATCCGCCATATTGTCATTAGCATGTGACTTACTGCGTCAGTTGCGTCGCTTCACTTCCATTCATAAATCCGTCCATCGTACGCACACTTCAGAATCTCGACGAAAGTACTCTGGGTACTTTTCACGTAATGTTTTTTGAATAGGCTACTATGTATTCGTACATACTGTTTTTTGCCTACTAATAGTAGTAGTACGAATAGTAGGGAAGTATTCGATTTCGGACGCAGTGCTAGTCTTCCTCTCTAATCTATAGAGCACTAGGCCTATGTTTAAAATTAAACTGAGGGGTAGGCCTATGATGTTGTGACCATAATCATTACAAAATCTAACCTAAAAACCTAAATGAAATGTAACATTAAAAAAAACCTATGTAGGTAGATCTGAAAACAATTGTGAGCCATGACTTGTGTTTTGAACCGATTCATTTGAAGAGAATCTTTCAAACGAGCCGATTCGCTAACTAAACCTGCCTATGCTAATCACAAGCGCTTTTTCTCCGTCTCTCTCTTTTCCACCGCTTCATTCCTTCAGTGTTCCCCGACGCTAAACATCTGTCCATTTTAGTCTGAATATAAGAGCATGATATTTATAACGGAAAGTCAAGGCTGAGGGGGGAAACGGTGCACATAAGCACGAGAGAGTGCCACTTTAAGGCTCCGTCATGTGCGTGATTCTCAATGCGGTATTATTTGGTGAAGGAGGCAGAGGAACCCACAGGCTGTGCGAGAACATTCCCCACAAAGCTTTACATAACCAACGATGTTCTACACGTTACAAATTATCAGTTTTAACAATGAGTTCACAGGCACGTGCTTGAGTGTTGCTGGTTAGACTACAGAAAAGACTCGTTATGATTGGAAAGAAATGAAGAGCTGTTGAAGTAGGCTATAGCTAGAAAAATATAGTAGCTAGTCAAAAATACATGCAGTCAGCATGTTCTCTATCTGCTCTGGTTCTTGTTTAGCTGCATTTTTGTCTATCACTGACATGCAAATGATAAAAAAAAAATATTTGCCACAAACAGGCACACTTTCTTTCTCTAGCTACTGTATTTTCTCTTTTGATTTTCAGTATCTACACAGGGTGGTCAAAGATAACGAAAAGGTTACAATTTTGACTCCCACAATGGGTTATCCATGAGCGATCACCATTGTGCCTTTGAGCAGGGCACTTAACCTCAGGTTGCTCCAGGGAGACTGTCTCTGTAATAAGTACTGTAAGTCGCTTTAGATAAAAACATCTGCCAAAATGACTTGCTCATAGTCTCCACAGCAAATTAACATTAAAATAAAACATATAGGCCTATTGAGTCATCAAACATTCAGCTGGATATCTATCATTGCTCCTTAGAATGGCCGTTGCTATGATCTCCTGAACCAGAGGTTGTGAAGGAACCCGATTGTGCTCCACTCACATTTATTTCCCTTCTTTCAGCAAACACAATCCAGTCTCTGTTCGTCAATACATTCATCCGGCCCCATGCAATTGGAGTCAACAATGCATGCATAAACAGTTGACAAGAGTTGACATATAATAGCAGCTAAAAATCATTAAAACTAATGGAACAAAACTAATGCAATGCATTCAAATATATATATATTAAATATCAAATAATGCATGCAATGCACTGTTTTAAATGCACTTTTTTGCAGTGCTTTATACCACCAAACATGCAGACAGAGAAATACAGACAAATTTATTCATGTCATTGAGAAGAGAGAAATGAATGCCCTTGCTTTTACGACGCCATGAACAAAGGATACCACCTTCATTTCTGTAATTAGTTTTGACAGATAAGAAATCTGACTTACAATTAAAATTTCCCCCAGAAGATGTAGAAAATCTGCTTAGTGTGTGCCTGTTTTAATTACTCAAGACAAGAGTTCCCATTGAGACGTGCTTCCTTTCTATTCACAGCGATGATGTGATGATGGTTATCTGTTATCTCCGTGCGATGCTTTAACCTATTCACTTTTCTTATTGATGCTCCTATAGCAGAAAATTAATCCAAATATCATATACAGTTTTCAATCACTTTGTTCTATGTTGCTTGACTCGAGTATGATGTGTCTTTATGAACTCTCAGCTTAACTCTGAAAACACTCTTTGTTCTGTTTTCACTGGAACACCCATCTAAAATCAGCTTTCCATTTATGAATGGTTTCTAGAATTTGCTAAATGTAAACGACTCAGAGGTGCTAATGGTTCTATCAGCATAAAAATGTAGTGACTTTACAACACAATGAACACAGTGACTGACTCCAAAAAGCAATTAGACACTCAAGGCACAGTAAAAAAATTTATGACATTCATAAAAAAAGATACAGCACAAACACAAGGGAACATGTTAGAATAGTACATTTAACATGTAAATGTAACATCCAGGGTATAATGAACTGGTTAGATTTGATTGATTTTATGTGCCTCCTTATCATTTAAACATAGCAATTGGACTTTTTTTAGTAAAACTTGATTATATTTTGTATGTATGTATTTAACATATTCCGTTTTAGTCTTAATTTACATCTCCACCCCTTTTATTGTTTACATATTGAAAAAAAAGTAATTACACAAGACCTAATTAACCTTATTCACAAGGTAACTTATTAATCATGCTGTGTTAGAAGCAGCTAGTACTGAACACAAGAGGGCGCTAGTGAACTGCGTGTAAACCTTTTATTAAACTTTAACTCTGAATACAGAACTAAATGTAGGCTATATGATGTATATGAAAAAAAATATATATATATATTGAAAATATATTTTTGTATGGTTTGATTTGAAAACCGGCATAACAAATAGCCTATTTAAAGATTACAAGTGGGTGGTGACAAAATGAACACTTTTAAGGAATGTCTAGTAAAATTAAACGCCACCAACATAAAGACTATATATATATATATATATATATACATACATACAAACACACACACACACACACAAATCATTTAGGACCAAGAGGACCAAGATTTACATTGCCTTTGATGAATCGTTATTTTAAAGGGCTTTCCTGATTCAATCATTAAGGAATAATGGCATTTCAACAATCTGAGTGCTTTGACCATCTGTGACAAGTCTGAACATTATTTCACCTCCATACACAACCCTAGAATGAACACCTGTCTTCTTTTCCCTTGACCACGCCCCCTAAAGTCACACCTCTATTTTGATTGGGCCGGTGCTCATGAATATGCAGATATCAAACGCTCAGCCCCTCCCTTTGCACCTGATTGGAAGTATTTACTTGTTTTTTTGCACAGAGGTGCTGGAGTTTTAGAGCAGCTCTGCGCTGGAAGATGAAGCCCTGCTGGACCGAGCAATAAGGATTACAGCGATTTGACTTTATAAAAGAGAAGAAAGGACCGTTATATCTGCCAGAGAACTTTATACGTATTTCAGGATGCCGCGCTCATTCCTAGTAAAGAAGCATTTCAATGCAGCCAAGAAGCCGAATTACAGTGAACTGGAGAGTCCAACAGGTAATAGACTTTTTGGTTTGATGAGTCTAACTCCTAACAGTGAAAAGTTAAAATTAGTTCAACTTTTTAGTGTGTTGCAACTCTTCGTTAAGTTTATGGCACTTTGCGTGGCAACACACTAACAAGTTTTGTTTATTGAATTGATCCATTTTTCTTGATATTTGTATTTGTACCTAATAGGCTACATATCTAAATGAAATAATTGCGAATTAATCCAAATGATCCTAATGGGATCAGTTGCTACTGGAAAAATAGCAACTTCATGTGACTCTATTTCATTCCATTATGATTCTTTTAGAAACGTTTACAAAATATCTCATTTAGAAACCCAGTACACATCTTTTAGGATTGTTTTTCTTGTCGAAGGATAGCCATATCATATAAAGTCACTCAAATGGGTAGTTGGTGCATAACATTAGAGTTTACCTTCAAACGTATATGAATGTTCAAGGGAAAGTGTTTATCTTTGGTCCTGGTTAAACATTTGAATTGGTTCTGCAGTGAAACAAATTAACTTTTTACATTAAGTGTAAAAATTCCATTTATTTCCTCAATAAAACCTGCATGCATGATCATTTTAAAAGAAGATTTAGGGATATGGCACTTATGTATATCTGGTTGAGTGAACTAATATGATTGCATTTCCCCTTTTATTGCAGTGTTTATTTCCCCATATGTCTTAAAAACCCTCCCGGTGCCTGTTATACCTCAACCTGAAGTGTTAAGCCCTTTGGCGTACAACCCGATAACAGTGTGGACTACCAGCAACCTGCCCCTGTCACCCCTGCCCAGCGACCTGTCCCCCATCTCTGGATACCCCTCGTCCCTCTCCGACACGTCCTCTAATAAAGACCACAGCGGCTCGGAGAGCCCCAGGAGCGATGAAGACGAGCGGATACAGTCGACCAAGCTGTCAGACGCTGAGAAGTTTCAGTGCAGTTTGTGCAACAAGTCCTACAGCACATATTCGGGACTCATGAAACACAAGCAGCTGCACTGCGACGCACAGACCAGGAAGTCATTCAGCTGCAAGTACTGCGAGAAGGAATACGTGAGTCTAGGGGCCCTGAAGATGCACATAAGGACACACACACTACCCTGCGTTTGCAAAATGTGTGGGAAAGCTTTCTCCAGACCTTGGTTGCTGCAAGGACACATTAGGACACACACAGGTGAGAAGATCACACAAATACATTTATTTGATGCTATTGAAACACTGAGGATGTCAATGCACACACCTTAAGTGTCTTTCTTCGGAATTAAGATTGAGTGCTTTCAAATATTTGCAATATAGTTATGTTGGCAGTACTTTAACCTGAATTGTTTTTTGTGCATTAGGTGAGAAACCCTTTTCATGCCCCCACTGCAGTCGTGCATTTGCGGACCGGTCGAACCTCCGAGCTCACCTGCAGACTCACTCGGACGTGAAGAAATACCAGTGCAAGAACTGCTCCAAAACCTTCTCTCGCATGTCGCTGCTGCACAAACATGAGGAATCTGGCTGTTGCATTGCACACTGAGAGAGAATCACACACGCACGCACACACACACACACACACACACAGGGTCTGCATTCACCAAGTGCCTCCGATTGTGAATGCTGCTCTTGGACCTGCTCTTCCTCTCAGTATACTCGTGATAAACTGGATACGAAACGACAAATGCATCCCAAAAAGCTCTGACGATTTAAAAATGCATCGCCCCAGGGTCTGAATGAATAGTGGTTGTGGAGTCATTCAAAGATCAGATTCCACTCAAGACGCTACACACTAACAAATAAAACTGACCCAAAACAGCCTTTCCGCTTTGAGTTGGGTTCCCGGAGAACCTTCAACACCCTCAGACAGGAAAAGGCACAAAAGAAAAGACTGTTTGCCAGATCCCTGGTGGTCTGAACTCACTGACTAAGAAGCCTTTTCATTTCAGTGTAAACGCAGATTCATTCAACATGTCATGCGCCCGTCATGTGCCTTCCATTTCAACAGTATTTGCCCTGTTCGGGTTGGGTTGGCGTGTACTGTACATTTGTTTACGGATTTGTACTATTTGGGAGGTTTTAAATGTGTAGCCTCTCTAATAAGCAATAATTTATACTGGTTTATATCTGCATCTGAATGTTAAATAGGGAAGACGGTCACTTTTTTTTTTTTTTTTTTTTCAAGAGGTAATCGGTCAGATATTTCAAATGGCACACCAATGAGCTTGAGACCAAAGGAATAATTAATGCCATGTTTTTAAACAGGGAACAAGTGCAAAAAGACATTTTCTTGAATTAAAAGTATTTAAACTTTTGTGCGGTCATAACGCGACAGCAATTAACCAGCACTCAGACATCCAATACATTGCCATGTGCCTTTTTTCATCAGGAACTTCAGAGATTTTGCCATGTAATTGTTTATTTGAATGTATATGACACTGATATGATTGTACTTTGTATTGCAAAGTGTAAATGAATGGTATGATTTTGTACAAAAAATAAAATTTACACTTTTTTTGAATAACTCATCGCGATGGTCATTATCATTTTGCCATCTGAAAGCAGTCATCATTTCATTACAAACCTGTAAAAGAAGGCTGTAGTCTATGCAATGAAAGTCAATTGGGTCCAAAACAACTATCCCTTTAAGCATTTAACAGCTGAATTGAATAACAATTAGCCTAATGTTTACATTTGCATAGGGTTTGTAATGTTATGCAAATGAATAGGCCCGTAATGGAACATTAACAGGAACGTTTCTCACAGAAATCTCATGAAAAGCACTTCATTTCAATTTGAACCTGTTGCTGATTTTCGTCTGCATTAACAACTTTTAGAAAATAGTGTTAAACGTGGATGTGGAGGATGTAAAGAGCTGGTTTGTGAACTGTTCCTGAATTTAGAACATGGTTTGACTCGTTCCCACAGTTAACTTGCGTCGTGGGAGTTCATCAAAGTGAAGTTTAAGCATTTCATGATGCAAATGTGTTTGCAGTTTACTGTGGCGGGAAATGCAAGTTGTATAAACTACTGTCATTCATTTAAAAGTCAAGCTGGTGGAGATGCTATTTATATTCAGGATTCAAAGTTAATCAGAGACAGTCATGGAAATTCGGTGGTCAAAAGATGTGGGAGCTATACAAGACAAAACTTTTGTTGCGCATCTCAATGAAATGTCCTCAGGAGGTCAACTCGTTTTAAAGTCTGTGAATGTGTGGCGTGGCCACATGAACCTGTCCTTGCGAACCTGTTCGGCTCCCAAACAAATCCCAAATGTTACACCTCCTCCCTATGTTGATCTCACTTTGCTGCCAATTTCTTTGAAGACTCTGGGTCTCTGAAGGGTCCACTATAGCAAAGCCAGACTGGCTCTTACACATGTGAAAGTCCTTTACTGGATTATTACTCAGCAACCTCACAGTACACAGTGGGAACTCACAGGACCAGCGCAAACCAGTCGCGTTTTCAAACATTCATCTAACTGAATCTAAATCTGAACTGACCATTGGAAATAAGCAGCTTCTAACAGCATAGCAAAAATACACATAAAATCAAATCTGGCCTTATTTCCTTTCTAACAGACATTCCTGGTCTTATAGTGAATGATAACCATTATTCCAAAGGTAAACATTTTTTTTTTTTTTACTCTCGATCAAGTCCACAATATTTTTCCTGGGATTCCTAAGATATATCATGTAAATGTATGTATGTATATACAGTAGTATATATATACACAAACATTTCTTGTGCATATGCGTTAATGTAATGTAATGTAACAAAATGACTGAGTACAAGTAGAGGCCAGGTGTGAACACTTGCTCTGTAGAAAGGTTTTGGGAAAACACTTGACTTTTCCATGCTCTGTGGTTTATCTTTCCATGATCTGATCATGACTGCACTATTCCAGGTGTTCACCGTGACACACCTCACAATCGGACAGCTTTGGCCCTCAGGACCCCCTATGATGCCGTACAGGTGTTCACATATCTTGTGGTTTTCTGGAAGTTCAGATAAATATTATGACTCTTTGTTCATAATAACTGCCGATTATTATCACAAAACATATGTAGCAAATATGAAATAAGATATGTGGCTTTTGGTTATCAGGGTTGAGGTCATTAGTAAACCGTTCTTGACCGGTTTCTTTCAGTCGTCAGGAAAACATGTGACAGAACCTTCTAATGCAATTTGAAAGAAAAATGTTTTTCATTTTTCAAAAATTCTTATCTTTCTGCTCTTTTGTCACATGCTCCTTGAACTTTTGATGCCCCACGTCATGTCAGGCCTTTCCCTCACAAGACTACCATCACCATGGCTCGAGGACAGATCCGACAAGGTTACAAAGGAAGTACATTTCTTTGTTAGTCTCCCTCTCTCTCTCTCTCTCTCTCTCTCTCTCTCTCTCTCTCTCTCTCTGCAACCTGCTGACTTCACACTAATGCAGCAGCTCCTGTGAACGGAACAGATTAAATTAGAAAGCTGGTCGAAGGCCTGTTTGTTCTGATTAGTGTGTGATAGAAGGAGCCTGACCTGAAGAAAAAGACAGAAATATTCTTCTCTTACTTTGTCTGAAAGGGCAATGAATGGGGACTGAGCCTTACAAGGTTCCAAAAGGATGCAAAAGTAGTCCATAAAGCTTGTTGGTTCTTGTCACGTGACCTACTGTGCGCTTGCTGCATTCTGAAAAGTTGAGATGTTTTTATCTAGATGCGGCGCGGACGCGCATGGAAAAAACGAGCGCGTCGCACCCGCGTCCCTTCCATTATGAGCGCGCATACCGCCGCCTCCATTTGAAATAACGAACTTGAGCGCGCAAAAGACGCGATATGTAGGCGTACCCTTACTCACCCTCATGTTGTTCCAACCACGTAAGACTTTCGTTCATCTTCGGAACACAAATTAAGATATTTTTGATTAAATCTGAGAGCTGTCTCACTCCTGGCTTCTAAGGTATTGAAACTGGCCGGCCCAGAAAAGTTGTTAAAGACATCTTTAAAATAGTCCGAGTGACTACTGTGGCTCAATCTTAAGTTTATCAAGCGACGAGAATAATTTTTGTGCGCAAAAAAAACAAACAAAAATAACGACTTTATTCAACTATTCATTTCCTTCTCTGTTGGCCTTGAGATTTCACGTTGTGGAACTGCGCAAAGCTTCTAGGTTGTGCATCACACGCATCACACACATGACCAGCATCGGCCAATAGTGAGCCTGCGTGTGACTACAACACAGAACCGTTGCGCAGTATACGTGAAATCTCAAGGCTCACAGATTTGATCAAAAATATCTTAATTTGTGTTCCGAAGATGAACGAAAGTCTTACGGGGTTGGAACAACATGAGGGTGAGTAATTACTGACAGAATTTTCATTTTTGGGTGAACTAACCCTTTAAAGACCCTTCACACCTAACCCTGACTGTAAGCCTATACACTAAAACTGTAAACATGTCCCTCAAATCTTATTGGTTGATCGATGGTGAACAAAGATGGTGATCCAGGAACACGGTGAGCTTGGTGAAATCACATTCACATAATGGGTCCATTTAATTCATTACTCACTGAAAAATAGCTCCTAAGCCAAAAGAGAGTCACATTTGAAATTCACCAGGTTTTTAGAACATAACCAGCTTGAACTATGTACCAAAAACAGCTGCTTTACCAATTGTATTCCTTAGTTATTTATATCAACATGCATGCTAAATCTGCATATCACAGAGATGAATGCGAACGAATCCATATAAGAACAGAAATCGGTCAAAAAATAAATAAATAAAATAGAGTAATTGGGCTTACAGTTATCCTAATGCCAATAGCTGACTAAACCTGATTAGCTTTCCGTATGTGCCACATTAGCCAAAAACAATACTTGTGTCAAATCATACATTTGCACATCAGGAAAAAGGGGAAGGAAAGAATCTGAACAGACATGTTTGCGCTTGCTTCTCACGCAAATATCATTACAATCTTCTGCTAACCTAAGATCATGTGATGGGAACAGGGTGCCCTCATGCCTCTAAATCAATTACAATCGATATCAACACAATCATATGCCAACTCCTGATTATTTCTCTCTGTTGACACCATTTGGTTTCATATCTCCATGCAGGAAATGCCGGCAAAGTACAAATCTTTATAGGAATTATGTTTCAATTATGTTTGAGTTGTAGAGAAGCAACAGGTATTACTTCGTTTAACATGATTTATAGATCAATACACTAATCCTAGATTTAAAAGCACCAACTGTTATATTCAACTAGGATATGCTGATGTTTATTTCCCTGTCTATCATATTAAGAGATTTCATTTTAAACTGAGCAAACATTAACGCCTTATACACTACCATCTTCAATACACAATTGAAGATATAATCAATTTGCTAGGCAATGATTGATTTTCTTACACTAAGCAAGTGCTGATTAGTTCCCTCCTCTTTGTTGTTATGATGAAGTCTAATGAAACACAATCTAGGGACAGAGATTTATATTTAGCCTACTAATGAAGTCCTCCAGGATGACTTGCTTTAATTTCCCACCTTCTGGCAAGTTTATGACTGTTATAATGTAATACAAGTGCACTCACATGAAAAAGCATTATAAACTATATGGCAAATCTCAGTTGATTTTTATGATTGTTTATATATTGTTGCGAAACATAAACTGTATTAATGCATAGTTCATATAAAGTTGGATACATTATACTTGTGTAGGACTAGGCCTATATATAGCATCTCATCGTCGCAAAATGTAAATAATATTATGGTCTAGAAATAAAAGTTAAGACTGAATAAAAGTTGTCTATATAGTATTTTAATTTACATGCATACATACAGTATGCATACGTGAAACAGTATACACTCACGGCCACTTTATTAGGTACCCCATGCTAGTAACGGGTTGGACCCCCTTTTGCCTTCAGAACTGCCTCAATTCTTCGTGGCATAGATTCAACAAGGTGCTGGAAGCATTCCTCAGGGAGTTTGGTCCATATTGACATGATGGCATCACACAGTTGCCGCAGATTTGTCGGCTGCACATCCATGATGCGAATCTCCCTTTCCACCACATCCCAAAGATGCTCTATTGGGTTGAGATCTGGTGACTGTGGAGGCCATTTTAGTACAGTGAACTCATTGTCATGTTCAAGAAACCAATTTGAAATGATTAGAGCTTTGTGACATGGTGGAAGTAGCCATCAGAGGATGGGTACATGGTGGCCATAAAGGGATGGACATGGTCAGAAACAATGCTCAGGTAGGCCGTGGCATTTAAACGATGCCCAATTGGCACTAAGGGGCCTAAAGTGTGCCAGGAAAACATCCCCCACACCATTACACCACCACCACCAGCCTGCACAGTGGTAACAAGGCATGATGGTTCCATGTGCTCATTCTGTTTACGCCAAATTCTGACTCTAACATCTGAATGTCTCAACAGAAATCGAGACTCATCAGACCAGGCAACATTTTTCCAGTCTTCAACTGTTCAATTTTGATGAGCTCTTGCAAATTGTAGCCTCTTTTTCCTATTTGTAGTGGAGATGAGTGGTACCAGGTGGAGTCTTCTGCTGTTGTAGCCCATCCGCCTCAAGGTTGTGCGTGTTGTGGCTTCACAAATGCTTTGCTGCATACCTCGGTTGTAACGAGTGGTTATTTCAGTCACTGTTGCCCTTCTATCAGCTCGAACCAGTCTGGCCATTCTCCTCTGACCTCTGGCATCAACAAGGCATTTCCGCCCACAGAACTGCCGCTCACTGGATGTTTTTTCTTTTTCGGACCATTCTCTGTAAACCCTAGAGATGGTTGTGCGTGAAAATACTAGTTTCTGAAATACTCAGACCAGCCCTTCTGGCACCAACAATCATGCCACGTTCAAAGTCACTCAAATCAACTTTCTTCCCCATACTGATGCTCGGTTTGAACTGCAGGAGATTGTCTTGACCATGTCTACATGCCTAAATGCACTGAGTTGCCGCCATGTGATTGGCTGCTTAGAAATTAAGTGTTAACGAGCAGTTGGACAGGTGTACCTAATAAAGTGGCCGGTGAGTGTATACTATATAGCAAATATTGGCTGCGTGATTGTTTTCGTTGTCTTAAACCGTAAACTGCATTATCGCCCAGCTCTTTATATAAAGTTGGATATATATTTTATCCAACTTTATCTGCAAACATACAGTATATACTCACGTAAAGTGATATTGCTATATAGCAGATCTCAACTGCCTGATTTTTTTTTTTGTTGCAAAATGTATCTATATTATCGCCCAACTCTGCTAGATTGCTTGTATCATCACAAAATGTAAATTGGATTATCGCCCAGCTCTAATCTGCCATGAGACTAAGATATGAAGATATTATAAACATTAAAATCATGATTTTCTGTAAAGTGTCTCGGAAAGACAATGTGGATTGTACAAATAAATGTGACTTGACTTGATTTTTTGTTAGGATCGAATGTTAGTTCAAATGCTTTTCTAAAAAGGACAAAATTGTAATGCAGGACTCATTATGAAGAGTTTTGATGCAAAAACCGTCAACCACACCTAACCCGTCCCCTGCAGGTCAAATAGGCTCAAGTAATGCCTAAAATCCCCTTCAGGATGAATTGTGTGCGTTGCCAAATCTATCCCAATATCAAGGCCTATTCCAAAACAAAAGAGAAATGGGAAGTGATCGATTTACATTTCACAATCAAGCCAGTACCTGCATTTAGCTGCACAGGCATTATCCATGGAGACAAAAGAATCTGGAACAAACAAGCCTTAGAAAATATCCACCGCATGATGGTATTGTAGTCGAAAAACATGCCCGAACAGCACCAACGCACCAGCACAAACTCTCAAATAAACATGGCTGGATATCAGATGTGCCCTTTCCGAGGACCATTTATATAAGCTCTTCAAAAAGCATTCATGCGTTCTGACTTCCAACGCGATGCTGGAGGAGCCGGTAAATGTAAATTTCACATATGGACCTGTCAACTGAAGCTCAGTGAGAGATAAAATATGAACCTGCCACGGTGATTGCTTGACCAGGTCAATGTCGGCTTTTGTCATTTTACTTTCACAAGTGAATGTCGCTCTGAATCAGTGCAGTAGATCTGATGTGCCGCAATATATACCGAGGGTCAGAAGGTCACATCTCAAGCTCTTCTTTTTTTTTTTAGAGTGCATTGTTTTTATGATCTTACACCATGTCATAACCAGACTCAATGTGACAAGCAATAACGCTATCTTTTCCATACAAAATGGTCTCTCTCTGTAACTGTAACTAGCATCAACCAAAGGGATGTTTTGGTGCTTCTTTCAAAGTGAAATCACATTCATCTAAAATCCACATAAAGGTAAATAAACATCAAAAATGTTCTGAATGTCAGTGAGTGTGTTGCATTGCACAACATATTTCGCTAGAATTTTTCTACTTAATTAGGAAAATTACGAATTTTCCTAATTAAAAAAAAGAAGTCTGTTATGCTTACCAAGGCTGCATTTATTTGATTAGAAATACTGTAAAAACAGTAATATTTTGAAATATTATTACAATTTAAAATAACTGTTTTCTATTTGTATATATTTAAAATGTAATTTATTCCAGTGATGCAAATCTGAATTTTCAGCATCATTACTCTTCAGTCTTCAGTGTCACATGATCCTTCAGAAATCATTCTAATATGCTGATTTGTTGATCAAGAAACATTTATTATCAATGTGGAAAACAGTTATGCTGCTTCATATTTTTGTGGAAACCGGGATTTACTGTAACTTTTGATCAATTTAATACATCTTTGCTAAATAAAAGTTTGTATTTATTTATTTTTTATATTGCTGACCCCAAACATTTGAACAAGTAATACTTGATTTTTGTTGTTTGAATCAATATCCTAGTAAACTTCTAGTAAAAGGCTAATAATAATAATAAATAATAATAAGACAAAAAAATAGAAACAATAGATAATAAACACATACTGTAGCATCTCAAATTTAATGCTCTGCAGTGATCCATTTTAAAGTTTCTATTGATAATTTGTCCAGAACAAAGTATACTTAAATTTTAATCACCATTTCTCTAAATTGTTGCAATGCATTCTAGAATTCCAAACCTACTAATTCATGCTAATAAACTCTAATGTTCACTTAATGGTGGATTCCCAGACAGCAACATAGTGTCGGCCCAGATCCGGGCCGTGTGGAATCCATCTGAGTAAACCATGACTGATATTGCTGACTGAATCAAGAATTGTGCCCACAGTCATTCTAGTGGCTGGTAAACCTAAAAATACCCGCTTCAGAAGTGCTCCACACATGCAGTGACGTAATGTTTGCTGGTGTTGTGTGTTTGTACCGTTGTGTCTGCTGAGTAACAGAGGCCTGTCAGGTCCAGCTGTAGGATCTCTGACTCAGGAGGATGTGGGGTAGACGTTCTGCTCCCCCGCTCCCTCACAGAACTTGTGAAAGCGTGCCTTCGGGAAACAACAGAGCATTGTCTAAGTCAACAATCAAAATGGAAAAGCCTGGAGAGTTCATCTTTGGCTTGGGATTTATTGGTCTCTCTAGGGAACACCTCCGACAAGATTCCTACAAAGACGTTTTTTAGGACTGCCAACTGATTAAAGATTGGTATTAATTACATTACATGCTGATTAATTAATCTTATACTACGGGGCTGTTGAATGATTGAATCTAATTGGTTTACGAACGTTATAAGGTGTGTTCTCAGGAAAGTAGTTTCAGGCAGGTCTTGACCGCATTACAGTTTCATATCACTTCGCCAAATGATTTCAGTTATTTCAAAGGTCCTTACTGCCTACAACAGCAAATAACCAAAACCCACAATGACACTGACCAAGCAAAGACATATAGTAAACAATAGGATAAAAGCGACAAATTATTTCTGTTTTTTGCTACAAAATTACATTTTATTATGTATGGAAAGCACATACTGTAGTCTCTTTTTTCCTCTCTCCCACTCAAACGCGCACACACACATACAATACAGACACACACTCACAGAGAAACATGTTGTCAGCGCTACCGATTTTATCAGTAAAATAGTTTAGCAACTTAAAAGCTACATGACATTTCTCACGAGGTAATAACGCCGCTGTTCTTGAAGCAGATAAACTGACAGTTTCGGTATTAGTAGAAACACTGCTGCCGAAACATTGTTGAGACACACAGACTCAGGTAATTTACAAATGCTTAATCTCTCATTGTCTCTCTCTCTTTATCTCTTTCTCTCGCTCTCTCTAATAACTGCATTAGTTTGCCATCACTGGCTCAAGCCTCGGTTAAATGACATTTTGGAGTTAGCAAGGGAGGCGTTGGATGAGATGCGTAAGAAATTAGTCCCACACACTAGAGCATTTTAAGGACAAAAACCTGACAAATGTCTTGAAATATATCATCTGAAAAAATGTCTTGAGGTGTGCACCATAGTATAAGCGGAATAATTGACACTGGTCCATTAAATTATTAGAAAATAATGCACACCAGAGGTGTATAACTGCCATACAGTCTACAGCAATTCATTTAACAATTGTTAATAATAATTAAGAATTATTTAAATAAAAGTACACATTTTTAAACTTTATTAATTAAGAATTATTAATAATAATATTAATTGTTTATAACTTTAATTTCAATACTTTTTCAATTGTTGTTTTTCAATATTTTTAGAATAATTAATAATTAATAAACATATTAAAACTAATTTCAATTATTTAACATTTTTATAATTGCAAACATTTTATGTTATTTATAAATTTATAAATAAATAAATATATAACTATATTTTATAAAAGATGATCATATAATTATATAATATAAAGACTGGTTTTTCACATGCATGCAAAAAGATTAACATTCATCAAATTCAACAATTCCTCAATATCACAGTGTCTTACTTTCCCTTTTCTTTCAGCAAAAAAAGACAAAAAAATAAATCTTACTTCTACATTTAAAGTTTACAAGCAAAAATAAGTGCACACTTTTTCCATCTGTGCAAGTGTTGCTCATCAGCGTTGAGGCGCCGTCGTGTGTAAAATGAAAATTGCATTGTGAGTCATTGCACAAGTTTTGGGAATGTTTCAACAGCCCCGAGAAAGGAATGATATTCTGGTGGAAGGTGATGATAATAGTAACATTATAGTGCACTTCGGGGACTTTTGAACATTCAGAATGAATGAGCCAAGCATTTCATTCTTCTTCTGCTCTGTTTTTCCCATTTGAGTCACTCTTTTCCTGCGTCTCTCCCTCTCTTCATGCCTGCAGGGGTCATTTCTGATCTCGCATCACTTGGCAAGCATCCGCTTTGGATGATCTTTCCTTAATATGGGAAAACTCTTTGCACAACACCTGATTTACTCGTACTAGATCCTTGCGCAATTAGTTCGATTTTAAATCAACTAAACTGTGAAATCAAAAGGGTTTTTCATGTGCGATTACATTTCTGTATTTGGCGGTGGGCGTCTGACCTGTAAATTATTAAATTTGTTGCCTGAAAGCATCTCTGGGATGCAAGATCTCGGCTGTTTAGCACACTCGCATTGAGATAACGTCAATCTCCACTCCACTAGTCTGTGCTTGCAGCTGATATACGGGTGAGATATCTGCTCTGGATCAGTATCCTGAGGTCTGGTGAACTGCAGAGGTTTAGTGCAGATCACAGACTCACTGCCAAAACTACAGAGAGACCACAGCGAACACTTCAGAGTGATATTACACACCAGAAACAACCTAGCAACCACTCAAAACAATAGAACCCACCTAGAACACCCTAGCAACAACAACATGACAACAGTAAACAAAAGTTGACAAAAACTTCATAACAAAAACAACAAAAACAAAAGTTCAGGAAGCAGACACACTCTGTCAGTTCATCTCTTTAACCTGGCATATAACACATGATCACATTTCTATAATTCACATCAGTTTAGGATTTCCAGACAGCAACATATTGTCGGCCCACATCTGGTACACGATTCCACACGGCCCGATGTGGGCCGGACCTGGGCCGACACTATGCTGCTGTCTGGGTTGTTAGGCAGCATAAATTAGGTCAACCGGAACCATGGATCCATTCCCATAACACCCGAAGTTACATCGTAAGAGGAATGGCTTACGCTAATATTAGTCTCTGTTTATCCCGAGACTACCGTATAGACGTATCCGGTCCGTATCCGGATCAGATGGTGAACCTGCGCCTAGACATGGCCAGGTGCTACTGATCCACAATTTGATTTTTGACTTGTGATGCAGTCTGAATCATAATTAATTAATAATTCATAATTATATAATTCATAATTAATAAAAACGTTAATTCGTTTCGTTGGTGTCAGGGTTCATCACCTCTGTTTGGTTTATATCTGGTTTGGTGACAGAGCTCTGACATTCCCGGTTAGTCATGTGTTTGTGTTTAGTCTGGGAGCACATGTAATTGTGAGCACATTTAATTGTGAGCACATTGTCTTGTATTCCTTGTGCCATGTGCTCTCTTGTCAATTGTCTGGCCTGATTAATTTGCCCCACCTGCCTTGTTCATTACCTTCTTTTGTTTGCTTCCTATTTAGGCCCCATCCACACTACGTGCTTTTTAGTTTAGAAACGGATAATTAAAACGAATATGATCTCCGTCCACACCAGCGTTTTAGCTGCGTATTAGAATTGATCTCCGTCCACATTAAAATGACTGAAAACGCGGATCACGTGACCATTCACCAACACTGGGGATGCGCGTGCCGGTGTAAACACAACTTCATTGATAAAATGATAGCGTTGTAAAATGCAGAATTGACTTGTACAACAGCTGCTAGCAAAGATATACGCCATGACTGATGACACCCAATCATAGAGCTGAGCGTGAGCCTCTACTACGTCATCGTTTCTAAAGTCCTCCGTTTTGTCCCGTCTACACTAAAACGCCCTCCGGAGATTCAAAACGAAAAACGGATCGGCAGCGTTTCTAAACTTCTCCGTTTTTTCCGTTTTAGTGTGGACGGGAGGTGCAAACGTAGCAAAAGGTCTCCGTTTTTAAACGAAAACGCAGTAGTGTGGCCGGGGCATAATAGTCTCCCTGTGTTTGCAGTCCTGTGCTGGTTCGTTGTGTCTATTTTCCCTTGTGTTTCTTGTTTGATGCCATATGCCTGTCTTGTTTTCCACCCACGGGGAGTTTTGGTTTGTAGTTTTGTTTTGTTTAATAAAGATCCTAAGTTTCCTGCACATGAATCCTCGCTTCACTATTTACCAGTTCCGTAGGAGAACTGAACCCCCAGCAACCCCTCAACACTGAATCAACACTGAACTGAACAATGACACTGTTTTCTTTTAAGAGCTGAACTGAAAAATGAACTGTTTGCATCATTGAGTCATTTTCCTGTTATCACTGTAAAGCTGCTTTGAAACAATGTCTATTGTATAATGCGCTATATATAAATAAAGGTGACTTGACTTGACATTGAAAACATCATATTGAGATCTCTGACGTTTGATTGCAGACTCTGGTATTTTGGCAAATCTGAGCAGAGTTTGAGACATTGTTGGGATTTTTTCTGATACTAGAGGAGACAAATGTCAGATTACACCCGAAAGAAACATCTGAAACGAAGAATTCGGCGAAAGTCTCGATTTAATCCCTTTGGTGTCTAGGAGAATAATTAACTCAGTTGTGATTTTTCTTCCCTATGGTGTGGAAGCAGATCACATTGTGTATAAGTATATCCTAACACATAAATAATTGTCTTATCTCCATCACATCCCGATCTAAGGAGGGGTTTGTTAGAGGTATCTACGGCAGCCAGATGACGTACATCGAGACATCAATGAAAAGATAAATTAGCTTGTTTTGGCTCCTGAGCCAAATGCAATAAAACCCCAAATTCTTACTGCTTAGAACATTGTGCAGGTCATCTGAGCATCATGAAACCTCAGCGGGGCTGTAGCACATCAGAGCAGAAGGACGGGAGAGTTACGATGTCTTACGAGGACGCTGAACATCAAAGACCCGTGCCGTGGACCTGTGATGCTCTCGTCTGATAACGGGACCTCTGAGTCTTTCTCTTAATCTCTCACACTGATGCTCTTCAACCTCTTTTATTATGTCTGACCACGGCTGGAATCCAGACCTCTGATAATCCTGACCGAACCCTAGGAATGTGTGCAAAGAAAAAAGAAAACAGGCATGGATGGACAGAAGATCAGCTTAGCAAGTGCTTAGTGACGCTATATGGGCAATCATCATTATTCATATTACTTAAGAGTTCAAATTTGAACAAACACTTACCTTCAATATTAACCCTCTTTTCTTCAGAATATAAGTATGTGTAGACATATTAGGATTTTATTTGTAGTGTTTTGTTGTATCCCATGGTATGATGGGCAAAATTCAGAATGAAAGAATTGTCTCGAGTGTGAGATTGAATTGAATTGGCCCCAAAGGAAGTTGAATTGGAATGATAGGAAGAGGAATTGACTGAATTGAATTCAAAGTTCAAATTCAACACAGATGATTCTAGGAAATGAAGTGTCCTTCCACCCTGATCCACAAAAGTTCATTTCTGGTCAATCCATCCATCCATCGTTTTATTTATCTATCTATCCAATGTTCATTCTATCTGGTTGTGTTGTTCTATTATTCTTTCTATCGTTTTATCAATTGTTCGTTCTATCGTTTTATCTGAAGTTTGTTCTGTCATTCGATCTATCTATCGTTTGTTCTATCTATCGTTTTATCTAACGTTCATTGTGGCATTCGTTGTATCATTCGTTCTAACATTCTAACGTTCTAATCTATTTTTGCAATTGCAATTTATTTAATTCTATTTCCTTATATTCAAATTTGAATTGCAATTCTGCATCCTGTTTGCTAATTCAAGAAGACAAATTCTGAATGGCGCACAACCTTGATATCATGATATTTAAATGGTACTATGAGGTACTTCAGAGAATAACATGTTCAACATGTCCAAGAATAATACTTCTTGCAAAGTTCAATTCATAGATAAAATCTGGTGGAAACACATAAGACAGGTGGAAATTACATTCACATGTGCAAACCGGATGATTGAAACTGTCCATTTCACCCATTACCAGTGCAACCTGAGTATTTTGATAGTTAAGAGCACCATTTAACCATCCACCATCAAAACACACACACACACACACACACACTTATCTGCGCCTGCCAAGGGCTGCAACTCGTCTGCAGTAATGCGCCTCTTATGTTGGAGAGCAAAAGCTGACCTTGTCCTCTTTGCTGTGGGTCTGTGGGTTTTGGACTTGGGAACAGGAACTCCCAGTACAGACAGCGTGTCTGCGAGCCCCAGCGCCCGCTCCACAGAGGAACACTTTGTTCACCGCCACCAAGGAAAACTTAAGACAACAAAAACACACATTCTGGAAAAATGAAAATTTGAGAAGGGCCCCCTCAACCTTTTCTTTTCCTCCTCCTCTTTTTTTGAAATTGTGCGCTTGGCGTTCAATGATAAATACTATCTCCCTCGCCTCCAAAGGGGCAACAATAACAGAACCGGGGGGGAAAGTGTCCAAAAGTGAAAACTACAGCTAATGAATGAATCTGAGTGGAGTATAATGACTCGTAACTCACCGGTGAATGATATCCAATTGGGTTTGATTTATTGTGTTGAGAACAGAAGGCCTTGGTTAGGGAAAGCAAAACACTAGACTTTTTATGTGTCGTCACAGTAACTCATAAGCAGCACATGTCCTGTTGACAGGAGGGGGTGAACAGAATAAACGTCTGTTTTGCAATACACCATCATACATCTGATTATAGTTTATTTGGAGTTGGACTTCTTTGGTTACATTACAGCAGAGGCAGCATATGGAGATATGAGTGAATGTACAACTATAATTAACACAGTCACAGATGCTAGTTATGTGTCATGAGAATCACACAGAATGAAAAAAAAACTTCCTAATTCAGTTGTACACTCTATCAAAGGGATAGTTCACGCAAAAATGAAATTCTGTCATCATTTGCTCACCCTCATGTCTTTGAAACCCGTAATCTTCAAAACACAAATGAAATCTGAGAGATTTCTGTCCCTCCATTGACAGCTACGCAACTACCACTTTGACGCTTCAAAAAGTTCATAAAGAGATCGTAAAACTAATCCATATGAATTGAGCGGTTTAGTCCAAATTTTCTGAAGAGACTCGATCGCCTTATTTGATGAACAGAATGAATTTAGGCTTTTATTCACATTCATCAACTCACACATCAGTAAAACTGCACATTTTAGAGTGGCCTTTTATTGTGGACAGCCTAAGGCACACCTGTGCAATAATCATGCTGTCTAATCAGCATCTTGATATGCCACACCTGTGAGGTGGATGGATTATCTCGGCAAAGGAGAAGTGCTCACTAACACGGATTTAGACAGATTTGTGAACAATATTTGAGAGAAATAGGCCTTTTGTGTACATAGAAAAAGTCTTAGATCTTTGAGTTCAGCTCATGAAAAATGGGGGCAAAAACAAAAGTGTTGCGTTTATAATTTTGTTTAGTGTATGTGACATGTACTTACCAGTAATAACAGTAAATTGTGCATAATTACATGCAACTAACCCTCAACCAAATCCTAATCCTAACACAACCCTACACTCTAAAAAATGCTGGGTTGTTTCAACCCAAATTTGGGTCAAATATGGACAAACTCAAATGTTGGGTTAAAAATGTAATTTAAAATTTTAACCCAACTTCAACTTTCACTTTCAACTGTAAATTTTTTAATTACATTTTTAACCCAACATTTGGGTTTGTCCATATTTGACCCAAATTTGGGTTGAAACAACCCAGCATTTTTTAGAGTGTATAGTAGATGTTGTTGATTAATATTACTCAGTACTCAAATGTATAATTACACTGTAACAATGACACTTTAAAATAAATTGTAACCAAACTTGTCCTGTTCCCCATGTACATCCTATGTACTTGCTATAATAATTACAATACATGGGTAATAACTACTAACCCCACCCCTAAACCTAACCTGAACCCATGTAGTTAGTTAGCTTATATTAATCAGTACTTGTACACATAAGTGCATGTACCATACAATAAAGTGCAACCAAAAATTGTGCCTCTTCTTCACCTCATACACCCTTTCACCAGAGAAGGGTGGAGTGAAGAACCGAACAAGAGAAAGAAAGCGTGAGGCAGGATTTTCATCCCCCCAGGCTACAGTTATCAACCTCCAGCCAGTTGTACTCTGACTCAAGCACCACGCTCAGTCCAAAGCAATGCTTTGTTTTCTTCTTCAAATCTCTTCTTTTAACTCAATATCCTACAAACCTCCCTCGTTCATGACAATCCATTCGTCAGTGTTTGTTTCAGATCATTCTCAAGAAAGTTTGGCAATCGACAGCCATTTGCGTATGATTGCAGAGGAGCAGGTTATCTGTTGTTAGCATGCCGCCACGCGCCCTGCTGCACCTGATAGTCTTACACAGCATTCCTCACCTGAGAGACGGAAAGAACGGGCAGGTTTTAACATGAACGCCCAGACACTCATACACTTGTTCTGTGGCTGCAGGTGTAGCTCACATCGCATGTAATACTGCAGCTCCGGGCTTGTAGGTGAGCCGCATAAACTATGCGCCGGGGTTTTGAGGAGGAGGTGAGGGTAATTTGATGTTTGGAGCCACATAACGTGGGACGAGGAGTCCAAACGACTGTTTATTTGGAAGAATTAAGCTTTTCGCTCCGTGTGAAGTTGATCGCTTTGTGGATTTTCCCTCGAGTGTGGTTCGGGGCAGAGAGAGGGCACGTGAATGCATTGAAGTCCAACGCATATGTAACAGCACACCGACTTCCAGTCTCCCCAAAAATGAAAATATACAATCTGAAGTACTTTTCTGTCCGTTGCATATTTAAGACGGAGGCCTCACAGTAACTGTCGAATTCAAAGACAAGGACTGTGTGGAGATCTCAGATAATAGTGCAGTGTTTTACTGAACGGAGTGATTATGTTATTAAAGTGATCTGTGATTGACTGTGATTATTACCTCTAACTGCCAAACACCATTTTAGAAAGTTTCCAGACTCAGTATTGAATTAAACTAGGATTATTAATGGGGAATCACCATGGGAAGGATGTAGCAATAGCTCGTATTATCTCACAAAAACGTTTAGGAACACGTCCAAGTAAAATTTTACCCTCAAAATGTATTAGAATTTTTTTTACAAGAAATGATATGGATTACAAATAAGAAGCATAGATAATATTACTTGCATTATGACATTACTTTCATGATAATTACGCAATTTTACACCCAAATTCTCATTAGAGCAATGCATCTGCACATTTTACTTTGAACTTTTTGTGTAATTCTCATTATTCTCGATTTCTGTTACTGTAGTATACAGTGTTTTTGGACACTGTTGCAGATTCTATATTTATATAAATCAGTGTTTTTTGTTAACCTTAAACTTAAAAAAAGTGAGGTAACTGAAATAAAAATAAAATATAAATATTAGGTGAAAAACTTAAATGAAAGTCAGAAAAGTAAAAGTAAAAAAAAAGAAAGCTAAATATACAAAAACATGACAAAAATTACATATAGAAATGACTAAAACTTTAACTAAAATAAAAGCTAATAAATATAAAAAAATGTATATGTTAAAATATTGTAACATACTAAATTAGTATAAAATAATAACTCTGATCTAAATATTTTATATACAAATTACATATTCACATTTACATGTTAAATATAACAAATATTATTTATTTTAAACAGTTATTTAAGTAATTATTATTATTATTATTATTTTTTTGCATTATAATAATGACAGTTTGAGAGAAATGTGCAAAATTGTCATGAAAATAATGTCATCATGCAAAAAAAAAAAAAAAAAAAAAAAAAAAAAAAAATCTTAATGGTCATAAAATGAGTCTTTATTTCTTTCCCTTTGATTTCAGTGTGAAATGTGAGCTGGACCTGTTCCTGGCTGGTTTCGTGAGATTCAGCGATGGCAGTCCGGGTGTCCAGAGGTTCTTGTTTGCACATGTGGACAGTGAGACACTTTTAGCTGGAATTCTTCAGAGCTCCACCTCCGGTTCCTTCATGCACCTCAACCATACAATTCACATTCACATCCAAGAATGTATAATTCCATGGGGGCGACATGCTCATTTTATTCCCTGCCTGTAAAAACTTTTTTGAGAGCACAAAGAGAATTTTACAAAA